AACATCCAGTTTAGTGTTGAAAAGGAGTGATCATGACATCCCTGTTATGTTCCTGATCTTAGCAGGAAAGTTTCTGATTTCTCACCACTAAATATGATGTTAGCTGTACGTTTTTCGTAGGTATTCTTTATTAAGTTGAGGAAGTTTCCTTCTACTCCTTGGTTACAGAGATACTTTATCAAAAATTTGTCTTGGATTTGGTCAAATGCTTTTTGTGCATTTATTGATAGAATTATGTGGGGGTTTTTCTTCTTTAGTCTGTTGATGTGATTGATTGCATGCTTTGCATGCATGGGATAAATCTCACTTGGTCATGATGTATAATTCTTTTTATAGTTGTTGCATTGAATTTGCAGATATGTTGTAGAGGATGTTTGCCTTTCGTTCGTAAATCTATGGTTTTTTCTTTTCTTATAATGTCTTTGTTGTGCTTTGGTATTAGGGTAACAGTGGCCTCATAAAATGAGTTACAATGCATGTCCTCTGTTTCTAGCTTCTGGAAGAGATGATAGAGAATTGATACAATTTCTTCCTTAATGTTTGGTAGTATTCACCATTTGGGCCTAATGCTTTCTGTTTTAGAAGGTTATTAATTGTTCATTCAATTTCTTTACTAGTTAAGCCTATTCATATTGCCAGTTTCTTCTGGTGCAAGTTTTTGGCAGATTTTGTCTTTTTGTTTGTTTGTTTGTTTGTTTTGTTTTGTTTTGAGTTGGAGTCTCGCTCTGTCGTCCAGACTGGAGTACAGTGGCCGCTCCCGGCCACCGCAGCCTCGACCTGCTGGGCTCCGGCGATCCTTCCGCCTCAGCCTCCCAAGTAACCGGAATTGCAGGCATGCGCTACCACGCCCGACTGATTTTTTTATTTATTGTAGAGATGAGGTCTCGCTGCCCAGGCGGGTCTCAAACCCGTGGGCTCAGGCAATCTACTCACCTCAGCCTCCCAAAGGTGCGGGATTACAGGCTGACCCACCCAGCCTGGCTCAGATTTTGTCTTTTAAGGAATTGATCCCTTATGTAGGTTATAAAATCTGTGGGCATAGTGTTGTTCATAATATTTCTTCATTTTTCTTTTTAATGTCCATAGGGTCTATAGTGATGTCCTCTCTTTCATTTCTGATGTTAACAATTTGTGTCTTTTCTATCTTTTTTATTTTTTTAGTTAGACTGACTAGAGAGCCTTATTGATTTATTGATCTTTTCAAAGAATCAGCTTTTGGTTGTTGATTTTTCTCTATTAATTTTGTGTTTTTAATTCAATTGATTTCTGCTCTGATTCTCATTATTTCTCTTTCTCCTTCCTACTTTGGATTTAATATGCTCTTCTTTTTCTAGTTCCCTAAGAGACATGCTTAGATTATTGATTTTTAGATAATTTTTCTAATATATGCATTCAGTGCTACAAATTTCTAAGCATTGATTTTGCCATGTCCCACTAATTTTGATGTTGTGTTTTTAGTTTAATTAATTCAAAGTATTTTTAAACTTCTCTTGATATTTCTCTTGATACATATGCTGTTTAGTGGTATGTTGTTTAATCTTCAAGAATTTTGGAATTTTTCTGCTATCTTTTTGTTATTGGTTTCCAGTTTAATTCCATTGTGTTCTGAAAGGAGACATTATATGATTTCGGTTCTTTCCAGTTTCTTAATGTGCGTTTTATGACCCAGAATGTGGCCTCTCTTGGTGAATGTGAACTTGAGAAGAATGTATATTCTGCTGTTAGCTGAATAAAGTTGTCGATAAATGTCAGTTATATCCAGTTGCTGTTGATTCAACTATGTTCTTACTAATATTCTGCCTATGAGATCTGTTCGTTTCTATAGTGTTGAAATCTTCAACTATAATAGGGAAATCATCTACTTTTTCTTGTATTTCTATTAGTTTTTGCCTCACTTAATTCAATTCTCTGTTAGATGCATATGCATTAAAGATTATATCTTCTTGGAGAGCTGACCCCTTTATCCCTGATAACTGTTTTTATTCTGAAGTCTGCTCTGTCTTAAATTAATGTAGCTATTCCTGTTTTCTTTTTATTAGTGTTAGTATGGCATATCTTGATTCATGTCTTTGCTTGTAATCTATATGTATCTTTGTATATAAAGTGAGTTTCTTGTGGATAACATATAGTTGGGTCTGTTTTTTGATCCATTCTGGCAAACTCTTTTTTCGATTGGTGCATTTAGACCATTGACATTAGGAAGGATAATTGATATAGCTGGTTAATATCTACCACACTTGATATGGTTTTCTATTTGTTGCCTTTGTTCTTTGTTCCCATTTTTGTCTTCTATTTTTTTGCCTTTTGTGGTTTTAATTGGGCATTCTATGTGATTACATTTTCTCTCCTTTCTTAGTATATCAGTTATACTTTCTTTTTTTACTTAGTCTAGTTCTTGCTCTAGAGTTTGAAATATGCATTTATGACTAATCCAAATCCACTTTCAAATAATTACTATACTGCTTCATGGTAGTACAAGTACCTTATAATAACAAAAGAATCCTAATTCCTCCCTTTCATCCCTTGTCTCATTGCTGTCATTTATTTTACTTACACATAAGCACACCTAGCATATATATACAAATACACAAAATCATTATATTGTTTGTATTATTATTTTGAGCAGGCCATTATCTGTTAAATCAGTTAAGCATAAAAGTTTTTACTTTGCCTCCACTTCTTTGCCTTTCTTTACCTATTCTTTCTTTCTTTATGTAGATCTAAGTTTTTGAGCTATGTCATTTGTCTTCTCTCTGAAGAACTTCTTTTAACATTTCTTGCAAGGCAGGTCCACAAATTCCTTCTTTTCTTTTTTTTTTAATCTGAGGAAGTCTTTGTTTCTCCTTCATATTTGAAGGACAATTTTTCAGGGTAGAGAATTCTAGGTTGGTGGGGTTTTTTATTGCAATATTTTCAATATTTCAATTTGCTCTCTTCTTGATGGCATGGTTTCTGAGGAAAAGTCAGATGTAATTCTTACTTCTTTTTTTTTCCCCCGTATAGGTAAGATTTTTTTCCCCTCTGATTTCTTTGTGCATTAAAAAAAAAAATCTTTACTTTTTCTGTAGTTTAGAAATGATTCATGTAAGTATAATTTTGGGGGGCACTTATCCTGCTTGGTGTTCTTCAAGCTTCCTGGGTCTGTGGTCTGGTTTCTAACATTAATTTGGGGAAATCCTCAGTCATTATTGTATCAAATATGTCTTCTGTTCCTTTCTCTCTTTCTTCTCCTTCAGGTAGTTTCTTTATGCACATGTTACACTTTTTGTGTATATCACATAGTCCTGGGATAATTTTTTCAGTATTCATTCTCTTAATTTCTGCAGTTTTGAAGTTTCTATTGCTATATCCTGAAGCTCAGAAATTATTTCCTCAGCTGTGTCCCGTCTTCTAATAAGCCCATGAAAAGCATTCTTCATTTCTGTTTTTGATCTCTAGCATTTATTCTTGATTCTTTCTTAGAGTTTCCATCTTTCTGCTTATATCATCACCCTTCTGTTCTTACATGCTGTGTACTTTATCCATTAGAGCTCTTAGTATGTTATTCATAGTTGTTTTAAATCCCCAATCTGATAATTCCAACATCCTTGCCATATGAGTCTAGTCCCGGTGCTTGCTCTGTCTCTTCAATCTGTATTCTTTCCCTTTTAGTATGCCTTGTAATTTTTTTCTTGATAGCCAGACACTATGTACTGGGTGAAAAGAACTGCAGCAAGTAGGCCTTTAGTAATGTGAGAAAGAAGTAAGGTGTGTAGGGAGGGAAGGCATGCTCTAGTCCTATGATGAGATCTTTGAGTGAGCCTATGCCTTTGAACTGTGAGTTTCACAAGTGCTTCTCAGTCCCTCCCTGATCTTAATGAGACAGATGACTAGAGTGGGTTCGAGTTGGGCATTTCCTTTCTCCCAGATCAGTTAGGATCTGATAAAACCTCAATAGTTTAAGCTCTGATAAAATAATTTCTCCTAGGGGAAGTTCTTGTTAAAAAGAGCAGAATACTCTGGCTATTTTAACAATGGTTCTTTTTCCTTCTCCCCCTGCTGAAAGCCTGAAGGGAGTTTCTTTTGCATTTCCTTTGAGAATCTGGTTGAGCTCCTGGAGGTAGACTGCACAAAAGCATGTAAACTCGGTGACTGGGTCCCTCTAGACTTTTTGACTCTCACATTTGCCTGCACCAAGTCCCCAGCAATTTGTCAGTTACAGTTCATGTTTTTTCACCCTGGCACTGTTCCTGCAGGGGTTTCTGCTCCAGTAAGTTGCGATTCCTGGCTGTCTGTCCAATTTTGGGGGAAGCAGTTTGCCCTGTGATCTCTCTTCACAGATGGATCTAAGATGAGCAGTTGATTTTGTAGTTTGTTCAGCTTTGTACTTGTTAGAATGAAATGCTGACTGCTAAGCTTCTTAGTTCCATACTGGAATTGAGCAGTTTATGTTTCCACCTTTGATGTCCCACACCTTTGATGTCCCACACCAAGGATGATAACTAAGTAACATGGACAAAACAAGGCACTCATTGAATTCAGACCGCAGATCTGAAAGGGGCCTTAGAGGTGCAACCGTGGACATTCTTCTCTCCATAATATTTTAACATTTTAGCAGAATAATGGAGTAGACTGCGTATAAGTGATCCACTGGGGCCCAGAATTCGAATTAACTTATTTCAGAGACAGGTATTAAGTTCTTCTAGAGTTAGTATTCTGCTCCCCAGAAGGAAATTTAAATGTGATATTTATTTGTCTGTCTTTAATATATGTGGAAGGAGTGGCTGGAAGAAAGCAACTAGAAATAGCGGTTATCTCTGCGAGATGGTTTAAAGAACGATTTTGGTTCTATGTGATGGGATGATGGGTGGTTTTCCTTTTCGCTTTTAGTTTTTCTGCATTTTCCAAATTCCATAGCAAATGAACATGTAATACTTCATGAACACATGATGCCGTCAAAGAGGAAAAAAGTAATGTTTTAGGCCCTAAACTCTCTATCTCTTCTCCACATCTCCCTGCAGTCTGCAAAATGAACGTTCATCGTCGGTGTGAGACCAATGTGGCTCCCAACTGTGGAGTGGATGCTAGAGGCATCGCCAAAGTACTGGCTGACCTAGGCGTCACTCCAGACAAGATCACCAACAGTGGCCAGAGGAGGAAAAAGGTAACCGGGTATCTGGCAGTGCTTCTGGACGCTTTCTGGACTAGTGTCTCTGTGCTGGCTTCCGGAGAGTCCGCTGGAGTGAGTTTATAAGATTCCTGAGTTTGAGGCACGTGCTTAAAGAAAAAGAGAGGCCAGGCAGGTAACATGAAAGTCTCCTTCAGCCCTGAAAGTGGGGGTGAAAATGTAGCAAACCTCAAGGGTTGTGTTCACCAGAGAAACATAAGCTTTGAGATGAGGTCTTTAGAATTCTTCAGGAAAAATCTTAACAACTCTAGACTATGTGCCTCCAGAACTGACATGAAAGCAATGTCAATGTCTGAACTTTGCCCCTGGTATCTTTATAATAAGGATAAATGAATGAAAAGAGCTGGGATCACATGCTTTGTTAGGGAGGAAGCCAAGAAGATCTGTGACAGTACCAGCGCTGAGCTGCCCAGGGAATATTGTTAGTGTTCCATGACATGAAACATTTGGGCCATTCTTTGGAGACCAAAACCCCCTGTGACATTCTGAAGATCAGTAGAAAGAGATCCATTTGGTAAAATGTTATTTTGGTAAGTCAGGGCCCACAGATAGACATAGAGTGAAAGGCATCCACAGCATCTTGTTTGCAGGCCCTTCTGTAGCCTTGGCTCCTAGCCTAGAAAATGTAATAGGTCTTGCAAAGTAACTTGTACAAGAAAATCAGAACCATGTTAACCGGGCAAGAAATCCTAGTGAGGGATGCAGTGGGGAGTGGTCTTCATTGGAAAGTGTCAAACAGTCTTAAGCTACTCACTAGAAAAGTAAGTCTGATTCGGATGTACCTCTACCATCCTGTCTCCTAAATGTTATCTCAAAATCTTGCCCTCAAAGACCTGAATGGCCCTACGCCTCCTAGTCAGCTTCTCATATTAGAACTTGCCTGTGTCTCTCCCCAGGTGCCTTCCAGAAGAGTCTTCTCCCTTGCATGGGAAAGATTGGATTGTTTTCATTTTCTTAAACTTCTCCTCTGCATTCTCAGTAAGCAAAGCTTTTTCTGCAAGGATTGCAGGAAAAATTCTCTTCTCCCTGGTTAACTATGAGATTTTGTGCTTTCGGTGACACTCGGTTCTATAAATCCTGTCAGTTGTAACGGGACCTCAGTTGTTGGCCCAATGCACCAGAATTGTATGGAGAATGTCAGTACCCAAAAATGCCAGGGCCCCACTGAAGGGCACTCTGTGATGGCAATGTTAGGTGGGCACATTCATGAACCCTGGAGAGAACCCTTTTCAGGAGATGTGGTTTTTATTCCCGGTTAAAAGTAAATTAAGACAACATCTTTGTCATGAAACATTTGAAAGAAAACTCAGCACCGGTCCTCTCCCCTGTATTTGTACGGGTTATAATGCAAGCAGTAAGGCACTGTCTTCCTGTCTTGGATTTAGGGAATCCCGGTGTTAAGAAGAAAGTCAGGAAGGGGCAGGGCAAAAAGCCAAAAAGACTGTAGTCCTGATATTTTTATTGCTGTGAGGCTTCTGATGAAAAAGCTGGAAAAAACCAAGTTGTAGCTCAAGTCAGCATGAGAGGATGAGAGAGAAGTTCCCTTGGACAGAAGCTACAAAGGCTTCTTTGCAGGAATATCAGACTTGCTTTGGGTGACCCTCATGTTGCCCTTGCAAATATCCTATCACCCAGAAAGGACACATGCACACAATGGGTCCAAGGGTAAGAGGGAGCAGACGTGCTTGTGATCTTAAACTGCTGATGTTAATGGTTCTTCAATACAGATATGCCAAGAAATAAACTTCATTGAGGGGATGTTCTATTAAAATTTGCCAACAAATCTCAATACATCTCAAAATATTGATTGAACATCATCAATAACATGTATTACTTTGTTTAAGTCACAAGGGGCAAAATAAAAGTGTTGGATAGAGTCTTACCTCCAAAGAATCTATAGTCTACTTGAGTAGAGAACCCCTCACAATATATACCTAAAGATATTAACTATATAAAGCTGAATTAGATCATGACTGAGTGCCAGGCAGGTGTTAGAGACAAGTGTCATATCGCTTTGGATGGGATAACTTGCATTACTTAGATAAGCAGAGGGAGGCTTTCTGGAAGAGATGGGACTGGAGCTTTGCTTAGAAAGGTCAGTTGTATTTGGATAGAATAAAAATTGAACAGGCTGAAGTCTCTTGTTTTCTTCCTTTAATTGGCAAATGAAACCTTGAGTCTGTGCTTCCAGAATATTAATTCAGCAAGTGCCACTGGGCACCAAGAACTCTCTCTCTTTTTTTTCTCATTTCAGTGGTTTGTAATGAAAGTTGTATATGAGATTACTTCATCTCTGCATCTTCTCAATTGTTTCTTCCTTGTATTTTCCCTTTTCCTTTCCTGCTTGATGAGATTTTGCTTTCCATTCAAGGATCTTCTTGTGGTCTCTGTCCAATTTTAACCTAGTGATAGATACCCAGATGGGGTGAATGCCCCCTCAGACAGGTGTACCATTAATTTTTTTCCTGCTGCACCTGTTCAGTATAGATGACATATTTTTTCCTGTAAACCTAGACTACTTAACTAATTTGCTGACTTGACAGTGTCCTCGCATACCTGAATTTCATCATCCTTTCAGATGGGCTTGGGTAGAATGTTGTACTTCTGTCTCAACTCTTTGGAAAAAGGGGAAGACATAATCTTCCTACGAATATGGGAAGGAGCATTTAAAATGCTTTTTGTGGTCTTGCTTCGGTCAGAAGCCACAAAGGAATTGAACTTCATTTTGGCTGCTTTGGTGATGGCCGCAAAAGGGAGGAACCCACACACTGTTCTAAGAACTCTTACAGCTCTTGTATAATGTCTTGATACTTTTGACCTCTGGACACTCTCAACCCTCCCTTCTGATACCTCTCTTACTTCTCTCTCCTCTCTAGCTCATTGCTGGTGCTGAATCTCCACAGCCTGCTTCTGGAAGCTCACCATCTGAAGATGATCGATCCAAGTCAGCACCCACCTCCCCTTGTGACCAAGGTGAGACCCTCAGATTTGCTCTCTTACCTGTGAGCTCTGTCACTGGATGGTCCAAGGGGCTTTGAGGCCTCTTCACCCAGGAATGACTTTATTAGCTGGCACAACAGCTCTGGAAGGTCTTTGGACACCCTTTCCCTGTTGATTTAATAGTTGTTCTTTCATTCTATAAGGTTTTCTTATAAGGACTGAGTACTAAATGGCCATGACTACCTTACATTCCTTCCAGGCCAGGACAAGAAGAGGAAAGAGTGTGTTGTATTAATTTCTTCCTGCCTCTTTCCCTGGTTACAAGCATAAGGGAGGAGAGGGTAACTTCTTGCCTTAATACTCTGCCCCTGTGTCTGGTCCTAGACCTGTCATTTAGTGATGCTCATTTGTGTTGAGCTTGACAGCCCTCTCCATCATCCTACCCCAAACCTGAACCCCGGTTGAGTCAGGGGATGGGTGGGGGAGTACATTTCCCATTCTTGCCTTTGGGTGGGATAGGAAGATGAAACCAGAGAAGAGACTGAGAGAAGTGGGGCGGGGAGCATGTCTAGGCCTAATGCCCCCTGCAGCTCAGCTCAGGTTGTCTCCTTCTGTCTGAATATGCTTCAACTAACAATAAGTTCTGCAGAGTTAATATGATAATAATAATTCTGCAGGCCTGCAGGAGTACTGAGGCTGAGAGAGACTTACACATTTAAAATTTACCACTCCGGTGACCAGGACCAGACGCCACAGGGCAAGTCTGTGTGCATCTGCAGAATAGGAATAACCATCTGTGGATAAAAATAGTGCCTTGATTTCCTGTAGTGCCTTTTGTATTTATTAGCCTAGTTTTATGCTCAAGTCACTCTGTTTTGGTGATCCATAACTCCAGGTTACAGGGTGGAAAGTGGAAGGTCAAAGAGTTGAAAAGGTTTCCTCCCAGGTCAAGAACTTAAGTCAGTGATAAGACGAGATGGTGTCCCTCCTGGCTTAGGGAACCACTCTTGGAATCCCTGCCATCAAACCCTCCCTGGAGGTCATCACTGTGACCCAGCCCTTCTTACCCAGGAGTAAATAAAACAACTTTAGGGATCACGTGCCAGTCCTGAGGCCACAAAATAATTGGCCTCAGTCCCTCTTCCATCCATGTCTTTATACTCTACTTCATTCCGAAAAAGATTTGACCCATTCACCCATAACCTGACTACTCTGGGACCTCCAAACTTGCAGGCATTATCGGTTACCAATGTGGACATTTTCATGTTCCCCATGTTAGTGCTGAAACTGCCTTTGGAAGTTTCAAGGCAACAGAGTCATATGGAAAAGAGAGCCCAGAAAGAGTGAAGGAGACCATGGTTTCCAGGCCTGGCACCTGCCCTACGTGCTGTCCGGCCTTGGCAGGACATAGCACCTGTTGGCCTCTGCTCATCCCCGGCAATACAAGCACCCGTATGTCCCAGCAGTGATGTGAGCACAAGTGGTTGGAAAAGACTTCCTAGCAAGACATGGTTGTTACAGAACAGAAATAAGACACAGTTTCTCTTTCTTCCATTGTAAGATCACATAGAAAAACATTTTCTTCAAACGTTGGTGTCACCAAACACCTACCTTCTGCCTTCCAAAAATCCACTGAATAACTGACACTTTTAGCTTTGTGGCGAGATTAAAAAGTTACACTTAGTGGGCAACCCCCTTGGGTCCCCTCAACTGTGGGCTTTTCTGTCCTCTTAATAAATCCTACTTCCAAAAAAAAAAGAGTTACACTTAGTAAGGAGTGAGTAATAGTTAGAAACTGCTGCATGGGCGTGGGCAATATCTGTAGACTCAGAAGTTGTCCCCCTCTCCCCTGTCCTCACTGCCCCATCACGTCTCAGGGGGTCAAACTACAGATCTAGGAATGATCTGCAGAATTTTTGAGTGAGCTCAAATGGGGCTTTGTCCTTCTGAAAAGAAGCTGAAGTTCTCTTTCTGTCAAGCAGCATGTGGCCACTTGTGCCTGATTCTGATTCCCAAGGGTTAATAGTCTACGTCCCCCTTCTGTAATTTCAGTTATTCACAAGCATCTTTTAAAATTGGATCACGCTGGAGCAGTCTATTTCTACACAGGAGAGTGCGTGTCTGGTGAATGAGTAACTAACAGTAAAGCTTCTTCAAACAGAAAAGATCAGAGGATCACCCAGCCTTATCACCCACAGTTAATTCAGGTCACATGCTCTAGAGAGGGACACAAGGCTGTCTCACCTATTGTGAAATTGTACTGAGGAACTCCTGCCCACCTGAGATAAAGTTTGTGGCATGTCACTCAGAGAGGCAAGTCCTTTGTTAATGATAAGCCCATTGCTCATCTTGTTAGATGATAACCTTGTGTGAGATAGGTATTTAGAATAAACCCACCAACAATGGGCTGAGTGAAGACCTTCAGGTGTGAAGATTTCCTCGGCTCAATTGTTGAAATAATCACGTCGCCAATGATGATTATGATGACAGTTCTGATTCGCTGTTAATAATCTTCAAAGGCAACTTGAAGGGTACCTGTTGCCTCTGTGACTCTGCAGAGTCCTAGAGAAGGCCCTGATTCTTGTGTGCTCCACCTAGAATAACAGAATAGCTACTAACCAAAGGAGCTTTCAGAGAGGTGGTCAGATCCAGTTAATCTGGAGTTTACAAGGACAGGACAGGGCCAAAGTCCCGCTCACCTTTGCATATCTGGGCTCTGCTGTACATAAGTGCCAACAAGAGTGTATTGAGGTGATGAAGGAACATGTAACAGGATGACACACTGGATCTGTTCCTACAAAGAACCAGAAAAGAGAACTGAGAGCTCACAGGGGGAATTCTGAGTATTGAGCCCTAATGGGAAGGGCTCATGTGGTGTGCCCTAATGCCGTATCTTGTTCCCCTTGACCCTAGAACTAAAAGAACTTGAAAACAACATCCGGAAGGCCTTGTCATTTGACAATCGAGGGGAGGAGCACCGGGCAGCGTCATCCACTGATGGCCAGCTGGCGAGCCCTGGCGAAAACGGCGAAGTCCGGCAAGGCCAGGCCAAACGCCTGGGCCTGGATGAGTTCAACTTCATCAAGGTGTTGGGCAAAGGCAGCTTTGGAAAGGTCTGTGGCTCGCATGGGTAGCACTGCTGGTGTTTCTGTACCCCTTGGCATTGCCTCATCTGTTTGATCTCAAATTAAGAGAGGAACATTGCAGCATGGTTTTGTTTTGTTTTGTTTTTCTATATTCCTTGTTATGGTGAGTGCAAATGACCTGAGGCCAAGAGCCCTGCTGTTCATTTGCTATGGGACTTTAGTGTAGTGATTTAACCTCTTTAGAATTGAGTTTTTCTCATTTGTCAAATAGAGACATGAATCAGGTGAGATAGTAGGTGAGAAAGTGCTTTCAAAAATTTAAAGTTCTTTGTGTGATCATTATGCCTTCCCTCCTTCTGAGATCCATCTGAAATTCTGTTTTCTCCCCCTGTCACTACAGATTATCTTTATTTATGTTTGACATATTCCATAATAAAAATTTTTAATGTAACATTTAATTTTTAAAATGGTGAGCTGAAGATTGAAGGAATTGATGAGATGGTAGCTTGATATACTTAATTAATACTTAGTAAATGTGAGTGAGGGCATGCTGTATAGAAAATATAATAAGTGTAATATTCAAGTATGTGCTGTTCTGTTTTTAATGCACTCTGAAGACTTTGAAACTGAACTCTAAAATCTCTGCCCTCAGTGAACTTAGGGTTCAAAGCAAGTGTAGCATATATTGCTTTAGAAGGTAAATGTTATTTAACTGATTTTTCTGGCACTTGATTCTCTTGAGAATGTGAATAATCATCTCGTGTTCGGGGGCCTGTGTCCTTAGTGACATTCTCCATATCCTGCTCCCCATGGAGACAAACACAGTGGTGTGGAGTATAGCATTGAGTGTGCCCAATAAAGTATTCGTGGTGATCAGCCAACAACCTGATGACTGGGTGAGATGGAAAATAATCCCAGTACATCTTAGAAAGAAGATGGAGTGATAGAGAGCTGAAGAAGCTGGTTAGCATTTCATCTGAGGTCTCTGATTGTCCCTTATCCCTTGACTCTTCTCAAAACTGAGTCTGAGAGTTGATGGGACCTTCCAGAGCAGAGAGGCCCTTGCATGAACTGGGCTCTTGAAAACAGCAGCCTGTAGGCCAATCAGCTGGCTGAACTGCAGGCCCATCTCACCTGGTTCCTAGATGGCTCACCTGCTCCCATCTGGTCCTCAGATTGCTGTGGCAGGAAGGGAACTAAGTCGACTTAAATGGCCACAGCTGAAGCAGTCATATTCTTTAGAGATTGGCTAAATAAGACAGACTCAGTGTTTTCAGCTTTCCCTCTGGTGTAGGCAGGATGGGGACTTGGATGACTCCTGGGCACCTGGGTTGTTTCTTAGGGGAAAAAAATTCACAAAAAGTCTTTAGGTTAATTAACATCACAAATTCCTTCAAGTTTCTAAGTGGCTGCTTTTTAGCTTTGACAACATACATTGGAATACTGTACTTAGGAATTATTTATGTAAAAAGATAAAGGCGTGTGACATTTGTCAGTAAATGGTACCAAAAAAATCAAGTGATAGAAACACTTTAATGAAATAACAGCCTATCTGGAAAAGGAATTGTGTTTCTAACTTCAAAGTTACAGAAGAAACCATAAAGGCAAACAAGAACAGATTCAACTACATAAAGAGAAATGGTTATTTTCAATAGGAGAGAATAAAAGAAAATCATAAAATAGGCTTAGAAAAACCTTTGCAGAAAGTAAAGGGCTAGTATCTTTATATGTCAAACATGTACAAATTTATAAGAAATTAATGTTACAACACAGTAGATAGACAAAGGAGACATAAATGATTCACACAAAAAGAAAAATACAGCTAGAAAAGAAGTACTTTTAAAAATGTCATTGCAGAGCAAAACAGCATCCAGGTAACATTTCACATCTGTAAAATGAGCAAAAAAAACTTTTTAAGTGAAATCACCCAATGTTGGTAAATACATGAAACTACAACGCTTCTGTACTGCTAGTGGAATATTGTATCACACAGCCTTCTTGAAAGTCAATTAGGAAATGTACAAAATATTTAACTCTTTCTACCTTAAGATGTAAGATGCAATCCAAAAGAAATAAAGCAAAGTTGTGTACAAAAATAGTCAATGCAATTTATTTATATAATGTTTATTAGATACTGTTTGTGTTTAATTTGACGGAAATGGTGAAATAAGTGATATATTTACTTGAATTGCATATAAACAACCATGATTATGATGGAGACCATGTAGAAAATGTTTGTGAAATAATGTTCAATTAAAAAATAATTGCTATATTTGATATACTATTTATTTTATTGTAAGTGTGACAAAGATATATGAACATATAAATAATCATTCAACAGATATGCATTGAATGTCTCTTTTCTGTGCCTGGGCACTGCGCCAAAGATTAAACATAAAAAAATTATAGTAACTATTTTAAATGAATAGTTTTTTTGTGTGTGAGTTGGAGTCTCACTCCGTCGTCCAGGCTGGAGTGCAGTGGCCTGCTCACGGCCACCCCAGTGTCGACCTGCTGGGTTCCAGTGATCCTTCCACCTCAGCCTTCTAAGTAATCAGAACTACAGGCATGCGCTACTACACCCAGCTAATTTTTTGATTTATTATAGAGATGAGGTCTCGCCAAGTTGTCCAGTCTGTTCTCAAACCTGTGGGCTCAGGCACTCCCTGCACCTCAGCCTCCCAAAGTGCTTGGATTACAGGCTTGAGCCACTGCGCATGGTCGGGTAGTTTCCTTGAACATTTCTTTTTTAGCTGTATTTCCTTTTGTGTGAAATATTTGTGTCTTCTTTGTCTGTCTGCTGTGTTGAACAATAATTTTTTACAGAGAGAGAGAGAAAAACAAGGTCTCATTATGTTGCCCAGGTTGGTCTTGAACTGGACTCAAGCAATCCTTCAGCCTCAGCTTTCTAAGTAGCTGGTTACAGGTCCTCACCACTGTACCCAGCTTGTTATAATATTCAAAATTAAAGAAAAAAGTAAATTAGTTTTTAAGATATTTGCTATTAACTGTGCTTCTTCTTACAGTTCCATACATGCATAGATTGATGGATGTGATTGATTGATTGCAGGTCATGTTGGCAGAACTCAAGGGCAAGGATGAAGTATATGCTGTGAAGGTCTTGAAGAAGGATGTCATCCTTCAGGATGATGATGTGGACTGCACCATGACAGAGAAGAGGATTTTGGCTCTGGCACGGAAACACCCGTACCTAACCCAACTCTATTGCTGCTTCCAGACCAAGGTATGTTTAGGAAGAAGCTGACTGACTGACCACCATCTTGGGTAGCACTGTAGGACATTATGGTATCTTGAATGGCAGATAATTTTAGACTCTCTATGCTGTTCTCCCAAAGATTTTGTAAAGTAGACTGGATTTCACCCTTGAAAATATCAAGGTATATTTGAATAGCATCATCTTATTTAAGGACGGGGAGCTTTTCATTCAAGGTTGTGCTTGCAAAGGGATGACAGAGCAGAGGAACTCTTTGCAAATATAGCGGGACAAAACCAAAGGGCTAAACCCAATGCGTGCTCCTTGGAAAAACCAGTGGGTGTGGTTGGTTAGTCAGTCCTTGCTCTCCTCCTAACTTTCTATCACTGATCAAATCACTTAACTTCTATGTTACTTTTGGGTCAAATGAAAAAGAGTAAAGGCCAACCCTTACCACTTCTAACTTGTGTAATGTCATCTGAGACAAAGGATGTGAACCAGTGCTTAAAATTCCATAGTGAAATATGAATGTAAGGTGTTCTAAGTGTACTATGTAGGTGCCTGGGAACCAGAAGGTGGCAGTAAAGAAACAGAGATGATCTGTAACTACGGAGTGGAGTCTGACACGAGTATCATGACTGATGTTACTTGTTCTTAGTAAAGAAAACAAATGTGGACATTCTTCCTGAAGCGCTTATTTTATCCTTTTAGGAGTGGGCAGGAGTTAAAGTCTTTTAGGTTCATTATGGATTTGTAGCATTTGGCTTCTTGAGAAGGCAAAGATGACCTCATCTGAAACTCTCGCCTGTGCCCATGTAGAGCCCAGACAGTGAGGGTGGCATCATGGAGAGATGTCTTGCTCCTGGGCATATATTCACCTCTATGTCATTGCAATGCTGATCTTGCCACTTCAGCAATTTCTCATTTGATCATTTAAAACATTTTTTATTCTATTATATTTCATTGAATCCTTCCCGTGCGCCAGGTGCTAGAGATATAGTGGTAAAGAAGACCAGCTCCTGGCCTCAGGAAGCCCATGGTCTCTCTGGTCCACTGTTTCCCAAAGATTATTTTGCAAAACCCTGATCACTGGAGAAGCTGCAAGAATAAAGGACTCGGTAGGCCCGTAGTTGGAGTTACTATAATCTTGACCTCTCTTAGAGAGTCTCAACATACATTTATTGGAGTCCTGGAGGAGATATGCGATGAAAAAAATTACCATAGTTTTAATCTACTTTTTCCCAACTTATTTGATTCCAAGCCCCCCCCCCACCATCCATTCCACACTAAGGAACACTGACCCAATGGAATTTTTCCTCTAATTCTGATCTCTCAGGAGAATAAGCAATATCTTCTGAAAATCTGGAAATCATTCTGTTTATCCTTCAAGGATACTTGTGTTTCTTTGTCTCTGAAACTTTCCTTTGAGAACCCCACTTAATAACAACTTATACCTTTTTCTGAACAAGTGTTGGACTTGTTAGCTATTCTCGTTTTTTAATATATGTTGTATAATGCCTAATATTTATGTGATAGTGTGTATATGTACGAGGGCGGCCCAAGAACAAAACTGGAATTATCATTTGGAGGGGAGGACCCTTGTAGTACAGGCTTCCCCTGCTAGGTAAGAGTTCTAGGAACCCATCGGCATCCGTGTACCAGCTAGCAGTGTTGTGAGACGCTGTGTTCGGCTTCAGTGAATTTTTCGGGGGGTGATTGTTTCAACACATTTGCCCATTTCATGATGGATGATTTATGAACATACCTGCCTAGACCATGCTGAGTGTTTAACAGGTTTTTGTTGTTGTTGTTGTTGTTGTTGTTACCAAAAACAGCATGACCCCCATCCATGCCCCACCCTCCCTATTCACCCAATCTCACCACAAGCGACCTTTTTTGTTTCCCTGGATGAAAAAAGTCCTCAAAGGGAAATGTTTTGCTGATGTAAAAGAGGCGAAACAAAAAACGACAGAAGCACTTACAGACATCAAAATTGACAAGCTCAGAAACTGTTTTGAGCAGTGGAAAAGTGTCTCAATAAGTGTATTGCATCACACGGAGAGTACTTTGAAGGTGATTTAAGTTTAAACATGTAAGAATAAATATGTAATTTTTTACAAATAAGTTCTGGGGTTTTGGGGACCCCCTTGTATATATTCAGAGTTTAGCATGATAGTTGAGGCACAGTGATGGAGTTAATGTTCTTTTCTCCCCTAGACCATCATTCTAAGTTAATGAGAAATGTGTTATTTCCTGTGTATCCTTCTTCCATGATGCCTATCACAGTATCTTAACTTGCTTATAAAAGGAACCTTGTAGATACTCACTGCCAGAATTAGAGACTTGGAAGATTATTTTTAAAGCCACTTTTTAAACTTTTTTGGTACCAGTGAGAAGACTGGGATTCAGAAAAGTAAAATTATTTTGCCCACAGATACTCCATGTTTTCAGAGTCAGACCTGGCATCTCATGCAGTCTCTGGGACGGACTCCCAAGCCAGTGGGCCATTGCTCTGATATCACATTTCCACTTTCTTGTGCCTGACTCAGCACAGGGTTCCCTCTGTGGGGGAGCCCTCCCACTTCTCCTGTTCCCAGCAGGTAGCCAGCCCTCTTACTGTCTGAAGAGGTTTCTTCGGCTAGGAGTCACACTAGATTCTTTCTCTGGACACATGGCCAAGAGGTCCAACATCCTAAGAAGGGTTCAGTCTTAGTTTTGAGGACTCTGTGGGACCCCTGTACATGGTGCATCTTGGGAAGCCCCAGTTGAAGGTCAGCTTGGTGAGTGAATGAGGGAGTGGGAATGGATGTCTTCAATGTCAGTCATGTTCTCTTTTGTGCACTGTGTAATATCAAGACGGAGGTTCTTTGTTGTGTCCAGCTTCTGGAGCACAAAATGGTGTTGAATGACACTATGGATTTCCTTTGTGACAGAATAATGATAAAACAGACATGGTTACTAGGATCTGGGTGGCTGAAGGGTGAGGATGGGGAGAGAAGAAGCTTTCTCTGTAATTTAGAGACTTACTAACTTTCAAGCCAGTGTCAGGTAGCCAGTTACAGGAGCAACTTTGTACCACCTCTTCCATACCACCACTATTTAGAATAACTTGCTTTATACAACAGATTCATTTTTCTAAAGTGAATCATATTTTAACCTCACCAAAGGACCTTAACGTGCTTATAAAAGGTACCTGAAAAGAATCATTTCACAAACCCCCATCTTAACTTAAAAAAAATATAATGTTTCCTATGACAACTAATAGTCATGATTTTAAAGAGTAGCTATTATTCACCTGACTCAGAGATAGGTGCTGGGTGTGGGGTTATCAGCAAAAAGGAAGATGATTCTCAAGTGGAGGGGTTTATTGAATATGGGATTGAGAGGTTATGCTAACTTCCACAAGAAAACAGAGAGCAGCAAACGGTATTGAATATTTACATTCTGGGCAGGGGTATTCAAAACAAGAGTACTCAGGAGAGGGGTGTTCCTTAGGGTCTACTTGAGGAAGGGGTCTCAAACCAGACTATGAAGGTTAGGGAGGACCTGGACAGGATTTGGGTGAGAATGAGAGTTTGGTAACCATTGAATTCAATCTAGCTGGAGTTTCGCTTTTCTTGAAAACAAAGCACAGTTCCTCTGAGCCACCTAAAACCTGGTTTCGACTAAGTCTCTCATACACAATTCAGGAACACAAAGACCTGAGTGCAATCCTATTAAGATTTCTTTCATTCTTGTTTAATTATGACACACAGAGCAGCAATAATGTTAAGTCGAGTTTAATTATTTTTAGGTTAGCCTTCATTTTTCAGTGTGTAGGAAGAAACAGTCCTCTGAGAACTTCCTGATAGATTACACACAGCTTCAGGGGATGTACTACTTATGAGTTACCTGGCAGAACTTAGACATGAGAAACTTGAAGGCATCATACCTCATATGGTGACCAATGGCAGTGATTGTGCAAATCCATTAGCATCAGTCATGATGTCATAGTCAGATTCAAGTCGAGTCCCCATGGCCCATCAAATGACCAAGTTACAGCTAAAAAGAAATTTGGGCTTTTCTGCATTGAACCCACCTGCCTTAGCTCATGCGCTCCATCATTTTTCATGAGATCTGGAAGGGCAAAAAGCAAATGAAATGGCTCCAGCTTTCCAGAGCTAGTGAGAAAAGTCAGACAGGCCTATAAATTAAGCCAATAACTTTAATTTAAATCTAATTCAAGCCAGTAATGATTGGCTTGAGTTCTCACTCTGCTGCGGGCTCTTTGGGATGCTAGAGTAACTTGAACTAAGTACAGAATTCTACAGAACTTAATTTAATCCACTGTCAAAGCATAAGGTCTGGAAAGGGAGCTTAGGGACATCTGATTGCAGCCAAGATGGAGTAGTCTCATTTGTCCCAGGTCCTCCCTCTTACAACTACAAAACCCTAGACATAATTCTTATTTTTTAAAGGTGTAACACTCATAAAATCTGTCATAGCCATAAAGAATTATTATATCTATTGATACGGATGAGAAACTACAATTTTTGTATTTAATACTGCCAGATGACTTTTACATGGATGATACTTACTGTCAGTAGCATTTCATATTTTCTTTTTTTATGAGAAAAAAGTGTGTATTTTGTCATACACACACAGTTGTTTCTTGCTCAAAAAAAAGTCATAGCTTATCATTTCAGTGAATGCATACATATTTATTATTGAGCACCTGCCATGTGCTAGACTCTGGGGCTACAAAGCTAAAAACGTACCAACCCTGAATTCACGGAGTTTACTGTCTAGTGGAGAAATAGACATGCAAGGGGTGGAGCCACATAGGCAATCCATTTAAAGTTCTACAGGAGGCAATCAGGAAGGCTTCCTGGCAGAGGTAGACCATAAACTAGACCTGGAAACATGAATAGCGTGTGGAAGACGGTAGGAACAAAGAGATGACTCATGACTAGAAATGTTTTCCAGGTCTCATTTTTATTAGTTTTCCAGTGCTAGACTTCCCAATTCTTTTTGTCTCCTCTTCTTCCAAGGAAATGATAGTAACCGAACCACACCAAGGAAGGAGAGGGAGAAAGGGGAAGAGTATTTAGAAAATAAGGAGAGAAATTCCTGAATCTGCAAGATCAGATGCTGATGGGTAGAGGGGCAGGTAAGGCTGTGAACCTTTCTCACTGAGCTGTCGGGCTCTGGAAGACTTGGGCTTGGTCAGGACTTAGGGGGAGAAGGAACTTCAGAGTCCTATCCGTGCATTGACTATGAGGGACAGAGGGACCACTGAGTGGTAGGCTTGTTTTTCCTTCTGTTTCTGAAGTCACAGGAAATAAAATTCCCAGATTTTTAGATCCTGTGTATTTGTATTCAGGATCCACATTGTTGAAAACCATTCTTTCCAAAACCTGTATGGAATAATTTCATGCTTTTCTTTTTTTTGTTGTTTTTTCTCTTTAAAAA